CCCCCGACCTCCCCGCCGGGCTCCCTGTGTGGGCTTCAGTTTGCCACCAGCTTTCCTGGTGGCCCCGGCAACTCAGGCTGATGCTTTCCTTACACAGGCAGCCCCTCGGGGACAGTGGTCCTTTCATGGCCTTTCCCCCAAGAATCCCAGTTTTCTATTTCATTGGTCTGGCTCAGGCTGTCCCCCTGCTGTGACCAGGGGCTGGATCTTGGCCCACCTTGGGACCAGCCCAGCCTGGTTTCCTGGAACCCCCGGGGCAGAGTGTGGGGTGGGTGGTTCCTGAAGGAAAATCTGGGGCCGGCTGTCCCTGCAGAGGTGTAGGTGGTTGGTCAGCGACGCCTGCTCCCTTCCCTCTGGTTTTCCCACGTTTCCTCCTCAGTGTCTGTGCTCAGGGTCTGTGCTCAGTGTCAGAGCAAGGCCCAGCTGCTTGGGGAGGAAACACGCCTGCTTCTAAGTACCGTGAGGTTCACGGTTTGGCTGTCCCCTTCCTGTTCCACAGGTGCCACTGTCAGGGCCGTGAGGCGGGTGGCTGCCAGGAGCCAAAGAAAGTGATGTAATGTTGGTATTGGTGTGGCAGCCCCTCTCTGACGCAGGGACGGGCTATTTTCATTTTTTTATTGTTAATCCTTCATATTTTTTCTATTGCTTTTTAGAGAGAGTAGAAGAGAGAGAGAGAAAGAGAGAGAGACAGAGACATCGCTGTGAGAGAGACACATTGATTGGTTGCCTTCTGCACGCGTGGGGATCGGACTTGCAACCCTCCAGTACACAGGCTGAGGCCCCAACCACTGAGCCCTGCCGGTGAGGGCAGTGACAAGTTATTTTGTCTGTTCATTTGCTTGCCCGTTAGAAGGGCCGCTGTGGAAACCACGTCCCCGAGGCTGGGGCAGTTCTGCAGGCTTGAGGCCCTCTGCTGAGTCCAGGGGCAGTGTGTGGATGCCGCCCAGACCCAGGCTGTGCTGAGGCCGCGGTGTGCGTGGTGTTTCAGGTGGACCTGCTCCGACAGAGCCTTGCTCTCAGGCACCCTGAGCTGGAAATCAAGTCGGTCGACGGCTTCCAAGGCCGTGAGAAGGAGGCCGTGGTCCTGTCCTTCGTCAGATCCAACAGGAGAGGTATGGGCACTCGCTGGATCCTAGGAACGAGTTACATATTCAGTGGGCAGGCTGGGTTTCTGCTCAGGCCTTGCGGTCACTGGGCATGTGGGCGTGGAGCAGCTTGTCCTGTGTGAGTTCAGCGTGAGGTGAGCCGGCTGAGCCGGTGGGGAGCCAGGTGTGATGAGGCCTCTGAAGGAACCCACCCTGGGACCAGCGTGCGTGCACAGCAGGGTGAGCAGCCCCAGCGCCTGGGGAAAGGTGTTCCCGGCACAGGGAACAGCGTGGAGGCTCAGGGCACAAGTCTGCAGTTGGGGTGGTGGGCTGGGAGCAGGGCAGGCCGGGAGGCCCCAACACCCGCCAAAGAGGTGGATTGCCTAAAGCCCAGAACTTGTCTATTTGGCCTCAAGGCTGATTCAGCCTCAGGGCGGGGTGCTTATGCCCACAGAGCATGTGGATATTCCATTTGGTAAGAAAACCGTACCCAGAACAGGTTTTTAGTTAACGGGCTTTGTAAAATGTTTTCAGTAGAAGGCTGAAAGCAGGCGGGAGGGGAAAGCTGTGGTGGGAAAGAAAATGTTGGGGCGTCTCTCGTGTTTCCCTTGCGTATCAGCGGCAGCACATCCATGTCCCCCAGGCTGTGTCCTGGGTCTAGCTCGGAGCAGGTGGTTCTTACTTGGAAATGGGTTAACAGTACGATAGCTACCGAAGTAGAAGTTGGGTGCCATCTAACCGCACTGATGGGCGTGGTTAACCGCAGGGTGTCTGAGCAGCCGTGGTGTCCACGGTGCCTGAGAGCCGAGTCTGGCAGGTGTGGGGGGCGAGTCCGCGGGAGGTGGAGACAGGTGGTGAGCCTTGAGCTGAGCCTTAGGTGGTGGCTGCTGACCAGGGCAGGAGCCATAGTCTCAGGCCTGCTCGCCCACTCGCCCTGCCTCGTTTTTAGGTGAAGTTGGCTTCCTTGCCGAGGACCGGCGGATCAACGTCGCCGTCACCCGCGCTCGGCGCCACGTGGCCATTGTCTGCGATTCTCACACCGTCAGCAACCACGCCTTCCTGAAGACCCTGGTGGTTTATTTCACGCAGCATGGAGAGGTGCGCACGGCCTTTGAGTATCTTGACGACATCATCCCTGAAAACTATTCCCACGAGAGTTCCCAGGGCCACGGCCAAGCTGGTGTGAAGCCCCAAGGTTCTGCCGCATCTGCCAGGAAGCCTGGAAGCAGGCGGCCGGAAGGAGGCCGGGAAGCCAGGGTGGCCCAGAAGGCGCCGCATGGGAAGCCCTTGGGCTCTGAGGCCCATTCTCAGCCCAGCCTCAACGGATGCAGCCCCAAGGGAGTGGGGAGCAGAGACAACGCAGCTCACTTCAGGGCTGTGATCGCCGAGTTTGTGGCGAGTGAGCAGACGCAGTTGGAGTTTCCTGCGTCCCTGAACTCACACGACAGGATGCGCATCCATCAGATAGCGGAAGAGCACGGGCTGAGGCACGACAGCGCCGGGGAAGGGAAGAGCAGGTTCATAACCGTGAGTAAGAGAGCTACACCGGCCACGCCGGCCACGTCAGCCACACCGGCCACGCCAGCCACGTCAGCCACGGCGCCAACACCGGCCCCGCCACCCCCAGCAATGACTGACAGCAAAGCCCCTCTCCATCCGGAGCCCCCCAGCCCCGCGCAGGCGGAGCCCCCCGCCCAAGAGCCGAGCAGCGTGGATCTGCGGGCTGTGCACCTGGAGAGACTGCAGAGGGAGAGGGGCCGGCGGGAGCAGCAAACCAAGGAGGGGCCGCGGGCCGCGGGCTCCGGGCTGCAGCGGTTACCAGGAAGGAAAAAGAAGAAAGGTGCAGGTGAGCTGGGCCAGCCGATGAGAGCACAGGCTCGGGGTCCCCTTGGCCGGGCCTCTCCGCACTAGAAGTGCACCTGCCACCCTCAGAAACCGACTTCCTCCTGCTGGTGCCTGATTCTGGTTTTGCACCTTATGTTTACTGGACTTGGAATGAGCCCCCGAGGGTGGTGACTGGTCACGGTGACCCTCAAGTGCCCAGAGTCCTGTGCAGGGCCTGGCAGAAGGGAGTGTGCTCACTGCAGGGAAGGGCCAGAGGCACACGGGTGGGTTACAGGTACGGGGTTCTCTGCTGTGGCGACTGCTCCTGGCTCAGACCCAGGAAGGGCACATGCTCGGCCACTGTCCTGTGCTGAGCTGGCCATCTGCCTGGTGCCCTGGGGCTGTGAGCTCTCCCCCCCGCCATCCTGCACCGTGATTGGGTGTCCACGGGTACAGAGAGAGGGCCTGGGCACAGCCTGGACACGCCCTGTCCGGCTGCATCCTTCCCTCCCCGAGTGACCGTCCTTCCTCAGGGCCCGCGGCTGTGGACCTCCCTGCCTCGGAGGACTTCGACACCCTGGTCTCTGCCGCTGTGAAGGCCGACAGCACCTGCGGCCTCGCCAAGTGCAGGGCCAGCGTCGCGACTCTGGGCCAGCTCTGCCCCCACTGCAGCCGCCGCTACTGCCTCGGCCATTGCCTGCCCGAGGTGTGTGTGGGGGGCTCCTCCCGTCTCCCCCCCCCCGACAAATGGGAGGAGTCTCCCTGGAACATGCACCCACCAGCTTGCACTGGGAGCACCTGCCCCAGGCCTGGCATTGGGGCCAGATGAGCAAAAATAGGGTTTTTGCACAGAGATTATAATCCCGCTTTGGGTGCATTTTGCTGTGTAAACATGGCGTGCTCTTGTGTGTCACTCCATCAGGGAGGCTGTGGGACCAGGCCCCGAGCTTGCTTCTGCTCTGAAGGTGGTCTGGGCTGGGGTGAGGGCGCAGGTGAAGGGAAGGGAGCCTGCGGGTAAAGGGTTGTGTGCGGGAGAGAACACAGCCCCTCCAAGGTCTTGTGCCCGGACTACATGGTCCTCAAGCTCCTCGATGGGCGGAGCTGCAGGGCCTTGTCCCCTCTCCTGGCGTTGACTCTTGTGTCCCCCACCCCCCCCAGATCCATGGCTGCGGGGAGAGGGCTCGCGCCCACGCCCGGCAGAGAATCAGCCGGGAAGGAGTCCTGTTCCCCGGCAGTGGGACCAAGGACAGGTCCCTGGACCCAGCCAAGAGGGCCCAGCTGCAAAGGAGGCTGGACAAGAAGCTGGACGAGCTGACCGGCCAGCGGAAAAGCAAAAGGAAGGAGAAGTGATGCCCTCCCCCCCCCACCCCCCACGGGGCCTGCAGACCTTGTCCTTGAAAATATGGGAGAGGGGCGAGCGGGCTGTTCCCGGGTGCTTTCTGTTCCTTGTAGCTGCTCTGTTGACAGCGCAACCCCGCTGTCCCCACCAGGCTGCACGAGCGAGGGCCTCTGGGAGGAAGGGGGGCCTCTGGGAGGAAGGGGGCTTTCTTGGGGCTGCGCTGGGGGCCCAGGAACACTCACCCTCTTCCTCACTCCCATGTGGATCAGTTCCCAGTCCCCTTCCCTCCTAGTCAAAACTCAGATTCCAGCGTCGGAATCTTGGGGTGCTGCCATGAGGGACAGGAAGCCTTTGTTTCCTTGGAGATGTGCCTGGGCCCATCCACTGTCAGGGGCTGGCCAGCTTTCCGCCCCTCGGGGTGAGGCAGAGCCCTTGAAAACCCAGCGAATACCCTCAGGGACAGCACCTGCGAGTGCGGGCGTTTTTCCTGCGGGTCCTCCGTCTTCTGTCCCCTGTGCCTGCGGTGACCCCACCCTGACCCTGCAGGGCAGGACGCAGCTCTGGCGGGTCCCTGCTCCTGGGACGTCTGGAGGGCCACACTGGGGTGCAGATCACGGAGGCTCCCAGCCCGTGCAGCCCTCCCTTGGTGCTGAAATGGCTGCTCCCTGGGGGACCTTCTTGGGAACGAGCCATCCCCGAGTCAGCGTTGCTGGCACGTACAAAGCCGGGGCCCTGTCGGGGGGCTCTCCACTGTCCTTCACCAACTGCTTTATTTATTGCCTCAGGCAGATGTATTATTTTAACCCCAGAGTTTTATTTGTTCAGAGTGATGTAAATTATTTAAAAATTAAAGGTATGTGCACACTGCCCACAGGATGCCGCGTGTCTAAGATTAGCATCTTTCTGCCTCTTGCTCACTCTCCTGAGGTGGTCGAAGGCGGGGGGTGATTGTTTGCTGTAAAAACTCAGGCGTCCAGAGGCGTTAGTGATGCTCAGGGCGGGCGGGGAGCAGGCCTGCTGCTGGGGGCGGTCCCTGTCCTGTTAACGGCGAGCAGAGAAGACCCTGTTTTGCTTGACTTCCCCACCGAGAGAGCGGAGGTCTGAAACGGGAGAGTTTAGAGCTGTAACCCTAGGAGGACCACAGGGGAAGGGGGAGAGGAGGCCAGCGCAGTGCGGGTGTGGGGTAACCCGATCACATTGAGCACCTGGGTCCGGCCACACCTGACTCCCACCCCATTCTTCCCCGTCTCCTGAACTAGTAAGTCCCCCTTTTTAGCTGAAGAAAGTCTGTCCCTGCAGCTAAAAGCATCCTTGCTGGTCCAGTTGTGCCCACATCTGTGTATGCCATCGGGTGTACCCCGTCCCAGTGTGGGGGCAGGGCCCAGTCAGTGCACCTGTGCTGGTTAGAGAAAGAGCAGGCCCTGCACTTTCATCCACATGCGCCTCCCACGGGCCGTTCCGCCAGGAAGAGCCCAGAGTAGAGGGAGGCCGGCAGCATGGCGTGGGCGGGGCTGCTGGAAGGGTCCGAGCCTGGATGCTGGCGCCCGGGAACGCGGCTTCGGCAGGCCCCTTCCCCCTCCGCCTGCCTGCGCCTCTGTGGCGGGGCGGGAGCAGCCTCCCCCTCGCTGGCTGTGCTGAGAATCCACGCAGGGAGCGGCTGAAAGCTCACGTGCTGGCCCGGCCCAGGCTCGCGGGCTCCACGCCGGCACCTGGTGCGGGTCCCCGGTGTGGTGGTTGCCCACCTGCCCACGCCCAGGGCACTCATCGTCTACTGCTGACCTCCAGTCCTGCCAGTACCGACACATCCTCAGGATGGCAGAGTCGGCGATCGCAGTGCAGAAAGTTTCCATTTCTCATCCAGGGAGACCGTGTTAGGAAAATGTTTGTAGCTGGTTGCTCGAGAAATGTCCTACACTTGGCTGGACGGGGGAGTCCCCAAAAGAAAGAAACATCCCACACCAACCGTCCTCCCAGCCAGCAAGCGTGACCCCTGCTGGGCGGCCTGCAGGAGCAGCCGGAGCGCAGGCTTCCCCGTCCTGTGGGGGCCCAGGAGGGGGCCCTACGCACAGAACGGAGCCTGGCTTTGGAGCCTGTCAGCCCCGCCGGGTTCATTCCCAGGTTTACCCCATACAGCCTGCGTGGGCCCGTGCCTCAGCTTCCCCCTCTGTAAAATGGGGAAACGACAGGATATATCTCACTGGGAAATGCCTTAAACATCAAAAGGCCCTGAAACAGCGCCTGACACTTCAGAAAAGTCTGCTGTCCCTGTCATCTAGCAAAGCCGCAATGACCGCGGGATAGACGCACACGTGGCTCCTCGCACGGGTGCAGCAGACGGCCTTGGCTGCTCAAGGCCCAGGCCGGGCACTGGGGGCCCCAGGAGTGCTGCTGGTTTGGGCGTCCTGCCCCTTGCGTGGGGGCACCGGCTTCCTTCCGAGCAGTCGGCTCGCTCTCGCCTCCTACTGGTGGGTCGAGGACGGCGGCCAGCCGGCTGCCCAGTGTTTACCTGGGTTTGTTGGCCGCGTTACCCAGAGGGATCCGTGGGCCGATGGGCACCGCGCTGCTCTGGGACTCTGAGCCTGAGCTATAGCCTGGCACTTAAAAGGAACTACGCTCGGTGCCAGGAGCGTTGCAAAGTCTGCAGCCTTATTTGGTCTGGAAACTTCTTTGCTTGGAGGAGAAGGGGAGGGAATGAGCAGGCTGCTCCTCCCGGCCGGGGAGTTTCACGGCTGCCAGAGGGTCGCCCCGTTGGTGAACTGTTCTGTCAGTTCTCCCGCATTTGGCTGCCTAGCAGCGGTCCCCCCCTCCTCTGCAGCACCTCTTAGGGCTCCCCTCCGCTGGCGCCGAGCAGCTTACAGAGGTGTGGTTACCAGCCGAGAAACCCGCCTGCGGCCTGTGTCCCGCTCGGAATTGAGGAAACGCGTGGGGTCGGGCAGCCCTCACCGCACTCAGCCCCCGGTGCCTGGGTGCCTATCGGGCGGCGTTCCCTCCGTCTTCCGTTTCTGAGAGTTGTTATTTACTTATACATTTTTTACTGGAGCTGCCATGTTTAAGTCGTGACTAGGGGCTGGGCTCTGACATACGTTCTCCGTGCCTATTGGGATGGCCTTGTGGGGCTGGTTCTTTATTTGGTTAAGAAGGCGCCTCACATCAACTGCCTGTTCAATGTGAAACCAACCTTGAATTCCTGGAGTAAATCCCGCTCGGTCTCGGTGCGTCGGTTTTACGTAGGTTGTTGATGGGAGTGTTCGGAAACACTTGGAAACCGCTGTTCTGGGGTGTGCTCCGAACCCGAGGCGAGTCTCTCGATGGGGTGGCCGTACTTGGATTCTTTTCATGAAATGAGGTAGAGAAACAGACCCCACACAGGGCTTCTTACACCCCTTTATTTCCTGTTAAACACGTTTTAGTCCCCCAGACCCAGGGAAGAAGACTCCGCGGGAGGAAGGCTTCAGCTGTTGGGTGGTCCTGGCCTGAGGTGGCCCTGCTCACCGCTCAGGGTGCACAGAGCAGGCCCTGCATACGACTGTGCAGTTGGGCTTTTTGGGGGCGACTTGGGCCTGCATTGCCCCCCGCGCCCTGCCCATCAAGTCACGCACAGGGGCTGCGGCCGCTCGAGGCGAGGGCTCCCAGTTTCTAATTTGCACAGAGATGCTGTGGAGGCTGCTGTGGCTCTGGGTGGATGGAAGGAAGTTGGGGGCGGCGGTGGGGGAGCCCAGCCAGTGCCAGAAATTTCTGGCCTGTCATCTTTAGCAAATGGCTCGTCCTGGTGTCCCGGTTCCATTCGCACCCTGTCCTCAAGCCGCAAGGCCAGAGCTTGCAGCTGACTGGCGACGTCTCCTCTAGCACTAGGGGTTCGTGGGGCCAGGGCCTGGCAAGTACCATCCGGGTGCCGCCTCTCTCTCTGAACGGGGCACTGCACCAGGGTGAACCTGTCTCTCTTTTTTAAAATTTATCTTTATTGTTGAAAGTATTACAGATGTCCCCTCCGCCCTGCTCCCGCCCCCTCCCCAGGCCTTCACCGCACTATTGTCCATGGGTTTTGCATATATGCACGTAAGTTCATTGGTTAATACACCCCCGCCCCTTCCCTCTGAGGTCCCTCAGTCTGCTCCCTGCTTCTATGCCTCTGGGTCTTTTTTGTGCATCAGTTTATTTTGTTCATTAGATTCCACATATGAGTGAGGTCATGTGATGTTTGTCTTTCTCTGACTGGTTTATTTCACTCAGCGTAATACTCTCCAGGTCCCTCCATGCTGCCTCAGAGGGGAAGGGGTCCTTCTTTATAGCTGCGTAGTATTCCGTGGTGTGAATGTCCCATTCACAGCTTTTTTATCCACTCATCTACTGATGGGCACTGTCTCTTGTTCCCACGGTGCAGAGATGCCAAGGCAGGGCCCTGCCGCCCAGCACACTCGAGACCAGTGGGAGGTGCAGACCTCACTGGGGATCCCGTGGCCCCCACCGGAGAGGGGCAGCCCGATTTGTAGGAGGCACAGAAGGGGGACTTCTGGTCAAGATGCCAATGCAGGCCTTGCTTAGAGGCACAGCACCCCCATCTGTGACCCTTCACTGTGATACGAAAAATGGGAAAAGTTTTCAAAACAGGGAGCCTTGCTTAAAGGAAGGGAAAGACCCTTGTGATCCAGAAAACAGACGGGAACCTGGCAGCCAGAGGGTGGAGGCCGTGGGCCTGAGGCTCCTGCTGCGGCAGGATGCGGGGTGCTGTCCTGGGGGTGACGGGACTAGGAGGGCAGCTCGGAGCTGGGATCGGAGCCTGGTTCCCTGGGGCAGGGCTTTCCGATGCATCAGAGGGAAAGCGGCTGCTCCCGTTACTATGGCTACATCACAAATTTACCCAAAACGTTGTGGCCTGCTCCAGGTCCTGGGGCTCAGGAATTGGGACAGCGCAGCGGGACGCGGAGGCTCTAAAGGCGGCCCCCTGCCCGGAGGCTGAGGACTCCGGTGTCCCTGGTGCTGTGGTCGGGCTTGCTCTGCTCCCTCGCTCTCCCCGAGCGGCCTGTCCTCGGAAACCGGGAAGGTTTCCACGTTTCTGGCCTGGCTGGTGGGTGACTTAATGGCGCAGGAAGTGCTGCCGAAATGCTCCTAATAATGAGTGTGCTTGTCTCACGTTAGCTCACGCTCGCCATGCAGGGGTCTTGCCCGTTGCGTGTGTGCAGCGGGGAGCCGGGGTGTCCAGGCCTGACTCCCAGGTGACTGGCATCCGCCGGCCGTATGCTCTGCTGACTGTCCTCGGGGCCTCGTGGGGCAGCGTGGGGCTGGGGCAGAGGCGACCGCTGCAGGGCCCCGGGCGGCAGGGAGCCTCCTGGAAGCTCCGACCTTGGGGGAGAGGTGGCAATCGCGTCCCAGAGTGTATGTATTAAATCACTATGTTGTACACCTTTTAAAAATCACATCATACAACCTAACCAAAAAAACAGGAAAAAAAAAAGGCAGGAGGCCATCGCGTCAGAGGTTATTTATCCGGACAGGGCATTGGACGTGGGACCACCCTGGCCACAAGCCCACCTGCACACGCCTTCTCCTAATTCACCTGTTTCCAAAACCTCTAGCCCCTCACCGCCGAGCATCTCGGGTGCCCTGGCACTGCCCAGCCTGGGTCCCTCTGGGCCCTCCCTGGGGCCGTGGCAGGGGCAGGGAGACCCCAGGCCACATGGCCTCCGTTTCCCTGAGGAGTTGGGGTCCTTCCATCCCCACGAAGCCCAGAGCTCTCTGCCATCCCAGCCCCTGGCCGGGGCGAGTTTCAGATCTGTGTCAACCGGCATCGTGCGAACGCCTAGGACCACATCCAGCCGCGGGGGCGTGGACACGGGGTATGGTTTCTATAAACACACGCGTATCAACAC